ATCAGACCGCCGTAATCACTCCCTCTTCTGGCTCCACCTAGCACCATCATCTCCTCCTCCCTTCCACCTCCGGTTCTCCAATAACCGGAAATTCTCCTGATCGATGAGATGTTTGCTGTAGAAAGCAAGGATGGTGGTATATTGGTGTTCTTTTATTTGCTTTGTTTGTTATGATATGCTAATTATTGTTTAATTATGGAGTAGTTTCTATTGTCCATGCTTTAAAAATCATGGTGGTTTGCAATTAGAAAATCAAGATTTGACGAGAATGCTCGAAGCAAACTATTTGATATGCCTGGATGTGTTGCGATGTTCGTGTCGTTTCAATTTCAGAGAAATAATTGTTTGTATCATTTTTGTAGTTGTATTTTTTTATTTTTTTTTGTAGTTGTTTTGTTAATTTTTGTAGTTGTATTTTCTGCTTTTTTATAGTTGTTTTGTTAATTTTGTAGTTGTTTATGTTACTTTTATAGTTGAATACTTGTTACCATTGTATTTTATTTTTTTTATTACTTTTTGTAATTGATTTGTGATATTTGTCGGTGTTTTAAATTTGTAGGTGGTGAACTTTTGTCAACAATTGCTTCCATTCTTTGGATTGTTGTTGGAGGTGGACCTGGAGAAGAAATACGTAAAAACCCCCTAATTCATTTACTTACGCGTAATAGCGTGTCGTTTTTGTTGGAATTTTGGTGTGTTTTTTTGCTTTTGCTTTTGCTTTTGTGGATTTCAATAATTTGTAGTTGAGTCAATATAGTTGTTTTCGTATAGTAATATAGTTGTTTTTGCACAACAATATTATTGTTTTCATTACTTTTTAGTTTGTTTGAATAAATAGTTCATTTAATAAATAGTTGTTTTGGAGATGTTTTAATTAAATAATTAGTTAATCTTATAATGAAAATAATATAATATATAATTAATTTAATAAATTGTGAAACTGATGTATCGTTGTTTTAATACCAATTGTTTTAATAATAGTCGTTTTAATAATAGTCGTTTTAATAATTGTAGAATCCGCAACTCTAATTTGAAATGTTCGAACATGAGAAAATCGGATAGAGCGAGAAAATAATATTGACATTAAAGAGTAACTTTTATCAACTTCAATCTATCCATTAGTAAATGAGATGATTACAGAACTATTACTAATCTTCTCCTAAACGACATCGTTTACCATCTGCCCCATTAAGAAGTCGCTCGCCCGTTTTTTTTTTTTTTTTTGTTTTTTTTTTTGTAAATCACGCGATATGATATCTCTGGCTCATTTTCCTCTTCCTAACAACAAATGAAAACTAGAAAAGAAGAAAACAAAAGACCAACTAGTCAGTCACATATCTGGATTTACTTCTTCAGGAATCACAGTCAGAGTCTCGGTAACGTTATTTTTCCTTTTCACAACAGCCTTGAAAGGTTTTCCAATTTTATCTCCCATTATTTCGATGATCTGGAAAAAAAAAAAAAAAAGACAAATGAAATATCAATAAGGTTTCACGAAATCGACTAATTCAAATTAACAAAAAAATCAATGATAGGTATTATTACCTCCTTAATGCTTCCGATAGGTCTTCCTCCAAATTCAACAACTACATCTCCAGGAAGAAATCCAGCACGATCAGCTGGGGAACCAGGGAACACCTATTAAAGAATGACATTAGATACCTCGTTTTTTTTTTAAGAGGAAAAGCAATGACGCATAGATAAGTAAAGTTAGATACAATGATGTCTGAGAATTATACGACTCTGTGGAGGCAAAGAAACAAGATTTCACCCTATTTTATTAGAAAACATTTAACAACTTCTCTCTCCTCCCAATAAATTGTACGGGCACAACTTAAACACTGAGATTCCATCGACCATCATTGACATTGTATTGATTAATTTTATCAAAAGGAGGAAAATGAACAAAGAACAAAGGTCGACTTCTTTTATGAAATCATAATTGAAAAAAGTAATCATGAATTTATCTAAATAAATATCTCACCATTGGTACAAGAACTCCTCTGCCGACGTCAGGAAATGAAGCGTTTCTTTCCTTGAGATTTTCGACAATTATGGAATTGAGATCAAGCATTTTCAAACCAAGCCAAGGTCGGACAACTCTCCTGCATCACAAACCATCCAAATTCATTACTCTATAGCAAAAGTTGCAATACTATTCACACGTAGTTTTAGAGAGAAGTCATTTGGCAAACATTCAGACCCTTCGTAAAATGGATTAATATATTCCTCTGCTATTGACGACAATAAGTTTGTGAGAAAGTCATATACGGCAAACATTACGAATCTACGAATTTTTTAGTGAAAAAAAAATCTTGTAAGCGACTGTGCGTGTGTTTGTACAGAGAGAGTGAGACGGACAACGTACCCATTCTTCTTGAAGTGCTCTATAATTTTTGAAACGGAGTCAATCGGGACAGCAAAATTTAACCCATCAGCTCCCAAGACTTTCATGATATTGATGCCTACAACTTCTCCATCAACATTCACAAGAGGACCACCAGAATTACCCTACAACCACACAAAAAATTACACGGACAAAGAAGCCATAAATCACAGAGTATAATATCCGAGACTTTGGCAGTAAACAATAGATGCCGAGAAGTAAAAATAGTTGATAAAGATTTCTTTTTGGGTTCTAAAGGCAAATGAGATGAATATATAGCTTGAACATAGATTAACCAAGATAAGCCATAACACCTATATGAGAAACTAATATACGTATGTCTTTCCGATCAATGCTTTTTATTGATACATGTTTCACTTTGCAGTGGAAAAAAATGAATCATCAATTTGTTGCACTAATGTAAAATTCAGTCCACCACCACCGGTATCCCAACCGTAAAAAGACGCAAAATACACATTGACGGGGATAGCGGTGGAAATTGGAATGGAACATCTGATTTCCGTTGATTTCGATCTCAAAATTTTCCGATTTTGGAACATTATTTTTCATTCTGAATTTTAACCTTCCGATTTCCGATTTTTCTGAAATTATTTGGATCGGAATTGGAATATATATGAGATTCCGATTTCCGATCCGATATTAAGTTCTGAAAATCTGTCAGAAAATTCCGATATTTTTCCGATTATTAAACTTAAAATATGAATATTATTAGGTATTTTATATTTTAAGAGACCAAAAATTGGAAATTTCTGAATTCTGCGGATTCCAATCCAAAAAATTTCAGATTTTGGAACAAATTTTTTAATTTCAATTTCTGAAATTCTGATATCCCATCTTTACGAATTTTTTTAACGAAATTGGAATTAGTTTTTCACTTTCGAAAAAGATCGGAATTTTTCAGAAAGGGTTCATTCAGATCCGTACTATATATACCCCCAGATGCACACATATGCAAATGCACTAATGCAAGTAGCAAAGGAACAGATCCGAAAAATCTTTACATAATAACCATCATAACTATATGGCATATTGTAATGGATAGGAAAAAAAAATATCTCAATGCAGGTGAAGGGAAGGAGAAAAATTTACCTGATTTATTGCACAATCAGTCTGCAAATACTCCCTGTGCATACCTCCAAGACCCAACTCACTACTTTTACGATCAACACAACTAGAAACAACAAGGGAAGCAACAAAAGCATCAGTCAAATACATTTGTAAACCCTCGTTTACGAAATGTACATTAACATTGCATACTTAGAACAGATGGCAAAAGTAAATTACCTTACAATACCTGCTGTAACGGTATTCTGAAGGGTAAGGGGACAACCCATAGCCAACACCCAATCTCCTGGGCGAATGTTACTAGAACTCCCGAGTTTTGCTGTTGGGAGTGGGATTTTAGATTTAATCTTCAGTATTGCTACATCAGCATGTACGTCAACATTTACCACTGTACCCTCGAATGACCTACCATCTTGCAAAGTCACCTCGATCTGCCACGATAACCAATCATTTTTGTATAATGCACAATACCTAGTGCATGTACAATGTGTAATGCATAGTGCTTCAGAATGAAAAAAAAATGGCAAACCAAGCCAATGCATTGCTTAAAACTTAATAGGCACGACTCGATGAAATCCATTTACTGTAGATCCCGGTTGCTCTAAATCCCAAGAGCATAAATTGAACCGCAGCTCGTTTCTTAATCATATATACATGTAAATATAGGATTAACAAACTATTGATGGTGTCTTTAGGAGTGACTCGTGTCATCAAAAGTTTCTATACAAAACTGTGAGTTGTGAGTTAATTAGTTTATCGATACAACACGTTTAACAGTGGTACACAATGCACAATCAAAGCTTTTGATTTCTGATATTCACAAAGAGCAATAATTCATGCATTGTGCATCACATAAATACTAGAACGAGTCCCGAGATATTAAGGTGATTAAACTATATTATAAAGATAAAGGCCAAATACAAGAAACATATGACTAAGGTGAATATAATTGAAACTAAGATGTAACCTATGAATTAAGACGAATTTAGTTCAAACTAATGGGCATATTTTCGATTGAATCGATTGAGAGGATTCACAAAAACGTTCAAATAGAGTTTTTGTGAAATTGCTCTGAAATTCCAATAATAAAGGTCATAAATGAGTGAAGTGATAAACCTTTTCCTTAGATGAAGACCTCAATCCTTGAAAATTAACCAAGCCATGAGCACAAGTTAGGATAGTACCATCTTCATTTATAATAGTTCCTGATCCAACGCTCCTACCAAGAGTTATACCGTGAAAACCTACAAAAAAAAAACATCAAGTAAAAGTTACAGACTATCAAACGAGGCTATTCACTCTGCAAAGTTAACAAAACAGAGAAAAGAGAAAATAGACCTTGTGGTACCGACAAATGGACAACAGCAGGAGCAACCTTAGTAGCTGCATTCGCAATAGTGTCCCGACCGAGACAGTTGCACGAACGTTTGGGACTATCTCCAATGTCAGCTCCATTACTAATATTAGCATCTGGCGCAGGATCTGGTCTTGAAAAAAATAGTGGAGAAGCACCTACAATTTTACGTATTGAGTGAGGGAGGGAAACGAAAAAACATGGTACATTAACAAAAATACCAAATTTCAAGAAAGAGTGAATAATTGCTGAACAAAATGCAATAAACCATAAAGTGAAGTGGAAATGAAATATACCATAGAGTGAATGGTTTGAGTGAGTAAATGTTGCCGAATTGTGGATGTTCTCTTTTATAGTTCTCCATGGCCATGGTAGCGAATCCCTAAGTAAAGGTATTGAGACCGATACTGATGTATCTTCAATAGAAAATACGTAAGACGAAAGAGAAAAAGAGTTAGCTTGACAATTACAAAAACAAAAATGCAATCGTTATCAAGAATGTTTAAACGGTTTGACTAATGCAGGCATTAATCTGAACTTACTATAATCTGAAGAATTGGTAAAGCCAACTACCCCCGACCCGGCTGTAGCTAAAGCCACAGCACGTACGAGACGAGTTTTGTTTGAAAATGTTCTCTGCAGCCGCAAATAGAAAAACAGACGTATGTATGATACATAGCAAATAATACAATATTCTCAGAGGAAATTCATCAAACAGTTTCCAGACAAGCCCAAGTTTTGGAAATTTATAAACTAAATAACCAATAAAGCCGGAAGAAGAAGACAAATTATAATGATTAGGAAAATGCATACCAAGAAATACATCATTAGTGTTTTCAAGTGCAAATAAACTCTCACAAAACCCCTTCTGTCCTCAAGAAAAATACGTTTCTTGGCTAGGGGTGTAATCAATCAACCGTTCCGAAAAATTCAGAAATCTTCGGAAATAAATTTGTATTTCCGAGTTCAATTGCAGAAATTTTGAAGTCTAACGTTTTCACTTCGATTCCAGAAGTTCTAAGAATTTTGGTTGTTTCTGAAATCTACAATTTTTACAATTGTTAGGAATTATGAGGGGGTAGCGCGACGGTTCACGAGCTTTAGCTTTCACAGGTTTCTTTCGTGCGGAAATCCGATTAACTGGCGGCGGCGCCGGAGGGGGCGGCGGCGCGGCTAATTTGAGAGAGAATGATGGTTGGGGTTTTGCAGCAACTCCGACGTGGGGTGAAGAAGTGGTTGCATCGGGTTTCAACGAACAAAAAAAGTAAGGGGTTAATTTATACGTAACGAGTTAGATAGTTAAATTTTACATATATTAATCATTTCTTCTTCTCAAATTACACACTGCCACACTACAAGTTGATAATAGCAATTGCAAATTAAACTGTATTTGGTTGGTGCGTGTAGGGCTGGGCATTGAGGATCGGGATTCCAGATCCCCTCCAGTCGCTATTTGAGACTAAAAATTCAGGAACATCTGGAATTACGGGATTCGGGATGGGATTGGGGGTTAGAAAGAAATATGAGATGGGATTCCGGAATTGACTATCCGGATCCGGATAATCTCATCCTGAGTTTCGAAAATAGTTAAATATTTTATTTATTTTTTGAGGAAAAAAGAGCACTTAAATTAAGTACCCATGGCCAAATGAGAAAGGAGTAAAGGTCCCTCCATATTGTCAACGGTAGACATAGAAGCTAAAGAGTGAGCAATGGAATTACCTTGTCTCCTAACAAACGAAAAGGAATACAAATCAAAAAACGAAGAAATAGAAAGACGATACTCCAAAATGGTGCCACAAGAGAGTAGCAAGACATCCGAGTTGTTAAGAGCTTTGACCACAAGAGAGTAGCGTTCCACTTGAATAGAGTTCCATGCCATAGATTGAGCCAAAATAAGAGCATGGGAAAGTCATAGCCACACATTCGACCGGTTTGAGTCATCCTATGATCTTATTAGTTTTCCACCAAATGTTGTTTCCACCAGCATCTCTGGCAACAAGTGACACTTGGTAAAACGGCGCGCCTTGAGGGAGAGAGGCGTCAATATTGATCTTAATAATTCCATTCATCGGCACGGCACGTTCATGGTTCTTCAGTGGGCGTCGAGGGGAGTGGAATAGTTTGCGCATCAGCACAAGTCTAAAGAAAAGCTCTGCTCCATCCTATAATTGCATTCAACTCCAAGGACTTCCCATCCATGCACATGTTTATTTCGAACGTCCAACATCTTCCACGCCACCCACTATGCACCAAAGGAGGTGGAGTCTTCAGCTATACAGTTCAAGGCAAATGGTTTGCTCATCCATCGATTGCCACGCCTCCACATCTTCACATAACATTCATAAGGATTTCTCTGGCCATTCCATACCGCTCACAAACTGGGTTTGGAATCACCTGTTGCTTGAAAAGAGCCGCCTTAGTCGGAATAATACTGGAGCATGCCAGCCACAGAAAAATCCTGATTTTCAGAGGAATTTTCATTTTCCATATGACCTTCCAATTGCTATGGGGAAAGCCACTTCGACCAACCCTACCCGCTGCAGTGGAGAACCATGTCAGCAAAACGGAAAGTTTATGATGATAGCAAGATTTTACTGTAAAGTTTCCGGATTTCGCCAGATTCCAATCCCACAATCGAGTGTTTGGAATAATTAAATAGCTCATCGAGTTGGGAAAAGCCGAGTCGATAGGCCTCGAGGTCAGAATGATCGGGTTCCCATTCCCGACAAGCCATGGGTTGCAGCCAGATAGAGGTGTCTTTTCCATCCCCAATATTGTGACGAATTCCATTGCGGGTGAGGGGGCAAGCTTTGATACGGATGTTAGAGTAGGTGACCAACAAACCAACTTGTGGTTGTGGTCTTTTCGTTTATTCTTGTAATAAATAATCATTTTTCGTATTAATCATAAAACACATTGGCATTCTATATCTTTGTCCCTTGTACAAACATAGATATAGTCGTTACAGTTATAACAATTACTTATAATTGATCTTTTAGGATCGTGAGATATTTACTTTAGTATTATAACTGTTAAACTGTGTTCTTAGTCGAAGGGTTACACCACCAATGAGGATGTCGGTCATTCCCATTAGGCGACTCACTTAGTGTATGTGTACTGCGTCTAAGTTGAAGAGTTCACTGAACTCCCTCATCCTAGAAATCTCTAAGTGGTTCTCAATAATGGAATAGAGATCTGTAAGATATAGTTGTACACCATTAGTCCTTAAGACCTAGGCATCACCGTAACTTCACTAAAGGACCAGCTGTATCGTGATATGTCCCTGAGTTCCATCGAGGACCGCCCCAAGGGACAGTGTTCGTGCAGTCCGAAATCTAGTGGGAGGTCTGTGCATTGTAGTCGGGGATTCGATCGCTAGAATAGTCTTGGATGTCTTGTGTGTTCTCAAAGTTTGTAATCTTTAAGTTTGTGGCCAAAGCTGACTAAGTGATGATTAGGAAATTCGATTCTCTAAGCCATGCACGTACCGATTACAACACTTAGAACTATCGCACAGTTATTGAACTACAAAGGAGGTCTCGATGAACCAATGCCTCTAGTTCAATCGGGACATATGAATCGAAGGGATCGTACTGTACATTAACTATATCACATGGTTCTTGCAGGCACTTCGTTTGTATATAGGGAATCATGACGCGTAGTTGCTAGACGCCAATCTTGATTCGTTGGGTGATTAAGTTGAAACGAGTTTCATCTTAATTAATAACTCTAGATACGAGTTTAAACCACAAAGAGTTGTGGACCCACGGCTAGCTTACACCTGAACCATCGAGGGTCACACTGCTCGTGTACTGAAGTTCTTTGAATAAACGGTCAAAGAAAAAAATATTTATCTTTGCATAATTGGAAGTCAATATGATTGAGTCCAGCATTCGTAATTTGGAATTATGAATGAGAATAAGAAAAGAAAAGAACTAGGGGAACATCTTAGTGAACTTTCTAAATTTGGAAGTTTCCAAATTTAGGATGTCCACTGAATTAAGGTTTCCAGTTTTAGAAATTGGAAATCGAGAATTGGCATTCGTAATGGCGAGGACATTTCAATGATTCCGAAAATATAATTGTTATAATGTTCCAATCATTGAGTTATGAGAAACGAGCGAAGAAAGACTAACGAACTTAAGTTGTTGGGCTCGGTCCAACTTATGCCCGTTGGGGCATTTATACAAGACACTATAAATACAAGATTTATAGGTCTTGTAAACACACACAAGGCACAACCCTAACCCTAGCCACTCACCTCACGTTCGATGCCCATCTCCGCCGTCGTCGCCGTTGCCAGAATTCGGCGCCCACGCGCCGTGTAGCTCTTCGGTAGTATTTTCTTTTAATTATTATTCCGTTTTATTCTGACTTTTGCGTGTCTAGTGCCACGTATCAGTTGAAATCGGTATACGAGGTCAAATATGAGAGAAGGAAGACAAAGGATTCGATCTGCTGAAATGCCGTCGAACCGCCGTCGCACGCGCCCTCACGCGCCGCCGAAGACAGCGCGTGAATCTCACGCGCCGCCGCTGATCCGTGCATCCGCCGCCGCCGCTTCTTCCGACTGCACGGATTGGTTTCCGTGGCAGTTTGCGTCAATCCGAAAGTTCGTCTCACGCTTCAAGAGGTAATTTTTGGATCCGTTTTTAATTAGGTTTTAATTTAATTAGATTAAATTAAACGTTGATATTCGTAGTATGATTTTTCATGAATTACTATATGTGATTGTTGATGTATGATTCGTGATTTACTGCAAGCATGCTAATTGATTTAATTATAAAATTAATAATTTGCATGTTGTATTTTTATTTTTGCTGAAAGCATTAAGGTACGCAATTAATTGCTATTATCAAGTACGTGTTTATATGATCAAACTCGTTATTCATATAAAATTTTTATTTTCCGTTGCGTACACCTGCCTGATTCCCAACAAAGGAAACCATGCAGCCGACGTCCGGCTCTCGTATTTCAGCGTACCACAAATCACCGCCTGGAAAGTAACAAGCCTTAAGTATTCGGGTCAACAGGGAGTCGGGGAATTTGATAAGCTTTAAAACTTGTTTGGCCAAAAACGACAGATTAAAGCAAAGGATAATCTCTAAATCCGAGCTCACCTTCTTCCTTCGATCTGTATAAATTGTTCCATTTTAACCAGGACATAGCTCATTCTCCCCATTGCCCCAGCAGAAGTGACGAATGACAAACTCAGTTTCGTTAATCAATCCGATCGGGAGAAAAAAATATGATATAACATATGTGGGAACCGCTTGGATAATGGACTTGATCAAAATTTCCTTCCCGCTTTCGATAACTGCTTAGTGTCCCACCCCTTAATTCTGCTCCATACTCTGTCTTGTAAGTACCGAAATATATCCTTGCTCGTCTTCCCCAAATAGGCCGGCAAGCCCAAATATTGATTGCAAAAAATAATTGAACCC